CAGGTCTTAACTAATGTTAGTGCCCTCCTGCCTGGCCTGCACCTGTCCTCCCTACCTCTCCTCCACCTGCCTCCTTGCCCCTCCTGCACCTGTGCCCTCTCCGCCTGTCCCCATCCCCTCCTCATACTGTCCGGTACCCAAGCCTCTCTTTCCAAGCATCTGGGTCCTCATTTCTCTGCCCTCAGAACTCACATCTGAGAAAGGAAGACTGCCCCAGCCTGGACCCATTAGTCTCTCAAGCCCCTGATGTGGATGCTTTCACAGTAATCCGTAAGCAGAGTGTCTCTGGGAGTTCCTGGACCTGCTCTGAATGCGATGTGTCAGAAGATGGCTTGTCCTTGGTAGCCTTGACTGTTTCTGGTTCTCTAAGCTGGGATAGGCTGTGTTGGAACATGGGCACTTGTATCACTGGGCCCTTTTGAAGAACTTCTCCCAGTTCCTTTAACTCAAGAGGATGAGGGAACTAATCAAAGTGAAACCGTGATCTTTGTGGCATTTGATACAAGCACAGGCTTAGTTGTAGTGGTTGTGGGGAGGAAAGTCCATGAAGTGTGCTTGTGGGGGGGAGGGAATATATATACACACAAACACACACACACACACACACACACACACACACATATATATATCGATTTCAGAGAGGAAAGGAGAGGGAGAGAGAGAGATAGAAACATCTATGATGAGAGAGAATCGTTGATTGGCTACTTCCTGCACACCCCCCACTGGGGATCGAGCCCACAATCCAGGCAGGTACCCTGACCAGGAATTGAACCATGACCTCCTGGTTCATAGGTTAGCACTCAATCACTGAGCCACACCAGCCGGGCTTAAATGACTTTTAAAAAAAGATCCAGTTTCTGTTCACTTTCCATTTTATGTAAATGACAATTTTCATCATCAGCCTGGCTCCCATGGATCAAGGTTCAGCAGACTTTCCAGAAAGGGCCGGATAGGGCATCTTGTCAGCTTTGCAAGCAATTGCCCAACTCAGCAGTGGCAGCCAAGAACAGCCAGAGGCCCTGCATACTGGCATAGGGTGGCTGTGTTCCAATAAAACTTTGTTTGCAAACACAGAAGGTGGGCTGTTTGTCTCTGTGGCAGACTCTGGGAAAACCAGAGGTGCATTCTCTGGCTCTGTCTGGAAGTTGGGGGACTCTACTGCTCCCCATGTGGTCCCAGGGTGAGGAGGTGCCAGGGGCTCTGAGCATTGGAGGGGGCATATACCAGGTACAGTATTTAGGGCCAGGATGAAGGGCACCCTTGGGGGGCAGTCTGGTGGGGAGAACTTGGAAGAGGGGCCTCCTAAGTCTGCCTTTGGTGAAGGGAACGAGGTGACAGGTGAGGTGTGTGGGGTTTCTCCGGGAACGGAGGCAGGGATGGCGGGATGCTGCCTTAGTGAAGTGCTCTGAGACCTTGGGTGGGCCTCAGGCAGTCCACCTCCTTGCCCTCCCCTCCCAGAAAGCTGGGTGGCCCGAACACACAGCTTCTTTGGAGCTTGGCACCATGTAAGCATTGCTTTGGCTGTCAGCGCCTCACTCAGGTGCCACATGGAAGGGCCAGAGCTGATGGGCTGACTGGAACAGTGGCAGTTGGGGACTGTGGAAAGTGGAACTTGCACCCACCGCCTGGTGTCCGCCTTCAGACTTCAAGGTTGGGGCACCCTGGGCTGTCCTCCATGCTGCCACCACTGCCAGGTGACCAGGGCCAGGGTAGGAAGCTCTTGGAGTGGCCTGGCTGTGCTTTCGCAGAGGGCCCAGCTGCCTGCGACCTGGTGCTCCGCCTGGTGTTGGAGCACACAGTCTATCAGGATCCTTGGCCAAATCAGAGCCCCCACCCCCTCCCTCACCTTGGCAAAGCCACATCCTCGGTGTGGGTTCACTGTGCCAGGTGATGACCGTCCCCCATCCTGTGTCCTTTATTGGGAGCAGCTGCCACCTGCTTGTCTCTGGCAGACTCCGGGGAGCCCAGGGGTGCAGTCCCCGGCTCTGTCTGGAGGTGCCTATAGCCCAAGGGGAGCGAGAGCTACAGAAGGGCAGGCCTAGGAGCCCAAAGCGTGCAGAGCTTGGCCCTTTCAGCTCCACAGAGCCCAGGGGCCAGGAGGGGCCGGGGCCTGTGGGTGTGGTGCGTGCCCCTGGCTGGGTGCTGACAGGTCTGAGGTCACACCCAGGTCTCCCCAGGGAGACTTGTCCCTCCCTCGTTTTCTCCATCCTGAGATACTTGTGTGTGTGTCCTCTCTGTCCTGTCTGAGGGAGGAAACCATCCCAGCCTTCACAGGTGTCCTCCTTTAACTTGGACCCCATGTCATGGATGGTCGGCCCCCGCCCTGAGCTCTTTGCCCCCTGCCCCGTTGCTCCAGGTGGCCTGTGAGTATGGCATGGTACACGTGGTCTCCGAGATGGGGGGCCCGAAAGGCAAGGATTACTGCATCCTCTACAACCCACAGTGGGCCCACCTGCCACATGACCTCAGCAAGGCGGTGAGTATTGGACTGGTGGCCCTCCTGGCGCGGTGTCTCTGAGCACCCCTTTCAGCTTGGGATCTTGTCTGTCTTGCTGTCATCCCTCCCCCCCTCTGCCCAGTGTCCAGAGGGGCCCTTGGAGAGACCCTCCCTTGCAGAGAGCCAGCTGGGGGAAAGATCTCCGAAGGACCTCAGCTGGGAGCTGGGGTGGGGTCTGGTCACACTTGAGAGGCCTCTGGGCAGCCCTAAAGGGGCCCGTTAACCTCTCCGGGCCTCAGTTTCCTTGGTCATGGATGAAAGACATCTGTTCGGAGTGCTCTGTAGAGATGGCCTCTGGTGGAGACACCAGCCAGGCTTTCGTGTGTGGGATGGGGGCTGGCTGCCAGAGGGCTCCTGAGAGGAGTGACAGCAGAGGGCGGGGCAAGGGCTCTGCTCTTCTTGTAGGAGACCCCTCTCCCTGGTCTGGCCTCCTTCCTCCACTCAGAGGACCGGGAGGATGCTCTTGTGGGTGAGTTCTCACCACAGAGGCTGACGCTCCTGCCCCTTGTATTCCATTCATAATGGATGCTAGAGGTGGATCTGGAGATGCAGGGAGGATTTCTGAGGGGTTTGCTCTGAGCGCACACCACCTGTCCTTCCTGTCTGCCTTGCGTTTGGTATGTGTGTCTGCAGGCCCTGCCCACCCTCCACCTCTCATCCTTTCTTGGTGCAAGGGCCTGAAGTCCAGTGGGACCCAACGGGAGGGGGCATCAGGATGGCGCTCACTGTGGTGATCTGGATATGAAGGCTCAGCACAGCTGGGCAGGTTTCTCTGATGCCTTGGTTCCCATGAGGACTGGGGCCCGCCCTGACTCTTCTAGAACAGCTCCTATGAGCGCTGCCTTCCCTCAGTCTCTCTTGCAGCTGAGGGACTGGACGACTTCCATGCTCTGCTCTGCATCCGACCTCCCTGCCAAAGGCTTCAGCAACCAGATTCCACTGGTGACTCGGGGGAACTGCACCTTCTACGACAAAGTGAGGCTGGCCCAGGGCAGCGGGGCGCACGGGCTGCTCGTCGTCAGCAAGGAGACCCTGGTACAGCTGCTTGGGCGCCCTTCTGGGCAATAGGACCTACCGAGGGCAAGGGTTGGAGGTGCCCTAAGGGAAGCCGGGAGGAGCCCCTGGGCCCCCACCAAAGTGGGCATGGGTGCTGGCCAGGAACGGCGGCCACAGCCAGGAGAGAGAAGTCTGGTTTGCCGACCGGCTGTGGACTCAGGCCTTTGGACCCTCATCTTGGAGGGGGCTTATCCCAGAGCAGTCCTGTGGGTTGGGGGATACAGGGCCTCAAGGCAGAGCTCTGGGGGTGCCTTCTAAGGAGTGGGTGGCATGGGTCCACCTGCCGACCTCTCCTCCAGGCCCCCAGCCAGATGGATTGGCTCCTGAGCCCAAGGTTTGAGTGAAGGGCTAGGTTTTCCTCCCCTCGTGGGTGGTGCCGAGCCTGTCGGCCTCCCTCCTGGTGTGTCCCCCTCCTGTGCTGGCACCTGATGACCCAGCACACACGAGGGAATCTTCCCCTTCCTTAGAGAGAGGGCTAGCTAGCTTTGTGGGCCATGCCGTCAGGAGGGGTTGGCTGTCTGCACCATCCTGGGTGGGCCTTGGTCAGCCAGCAGATCTGCCTCCTCTGGACTCCCAGGTCCCCCCAGGAGGCAACAAGACGCAGTATGAGGAGATCGGCATTCCCGTGGCCCTGCTCAGCTACAAAGACATGCTGGACATTTTTAAGGTAGGGGATCCCTCCCCCTGAAGTGTGTTGGGCCCGGGGCCTGAGTAAGTGGTGGGCAGGGCCTGTGGCAAGGCCATCCTGTCTGGGGCTGGCCAGGGGTGGGTCTTGCCCACTATGAGTCAGCCACATCGTGAGGGTAGGCCTCCAGTGCCACCAAATCCCAGGAATGGAGACCATGGCCCTGAAGTGCCCTGTGCAGCTGGTTAGAGTAATCCAGGCTCCAGGCTTGGCCAGCCTGGCGCTCCCCACACATGGAGAACGAGCATTGCTCCCTCTCTGCTGCTTGCACACTCCTGGCCCAGGCCTGTCTGACTGAGGCCCATGTTCATCTTTGGTTTGGGGAGCTGGGTCTGGAGCAGGGTGAGCATCATTATATAAGTAAACAAGAATCTCCAGTCTTTGTGAAACTTCCAGAAGTTCACAGTAAGCGCAGGCCTCACGCCTCTCCCCGTGGGTCCCCCATGGGCCACCCGATGTTACACAGGTGATGTGCTCCCTCATGCAAGCACACGCACATCTCGGCGCAGGGCTGTGTTCTCGCACGCAGGGCTGCTTGCCTGTCTTCATGCACAGCCTGTTACGTCAGAGCTGATTGCTTTGGGGTCAGGATTGGTGGATGAAGGCATAGGGCAGGGGCCTTGGCCTTGAATCCTGATGTGTTCTCCGAGGCAGAATTTTGGCCGATCTGCGAGGGCAGCATTGTATGCCCCGCACGAGCCCATGCTGGACTACAACATGGTCATCATCTTCATCATGGCCGTCGGCACTGTTGCCCTTGGGGGCTACTGGGCTGGGAGCCGGGACGTGAAGAAGTAAGTATCCTTCCTTTACGTGTGTGCGCATTGTGTGTACATGTGTGCACACGTGTAACTGATGGGTGCCCCTAATGCTGGGAAGCGAAAGTAACAGGACTGCTCAGAAGAGAGGTGTCCACACTCCAGAGAACCTTCTGGAATACAGTTGCTGTGAGTACTTGGGAGACACAGCCAAAGGCCCTCTGGGTCCCGCTCCCCGAGATTGTGCTCTGGTACTGGGATGCGAGCCCAGGCCCTCCCCGCCCCTCCCCAGGGAGCACTCAGGAGACAGGGCCTGTGGGTAGTCCCAGCGGTGTTCAAGGGCTTCTCATAGTGGGTGACCGGGAGCCTTGTCTGCGAGGACCCTGAGCTCCTGGACAAGGGTGTGAGGTCCAAGAGGCAGGTGTGGCTCTCCTGTTGGAGGGGCACTGGGGACACATAGTGGGTCTGGAGAGGGCGGACAGGCCAACAGATGAGCTGTCCCTGCCAGTCCTTCCCAGTCTCTGGCCCTTAGTCCTAGCGCTGTGCAAGCTGGCCAGGCGTCCTCATGACCCGTGTTTCTCAAGAAGGTATATGAAGCACAAGCGGGATGATGAGCCTGAGAAGCAGGAGGACGAGGCTGTGGACGTGACGCCCGTCATGACCTGCGTCTTTGTGGTCATGTGCTGCTCCATGCTGGTGCTCCTGTACTACTTCTACGACCATCTTGGTGGGTCTCCGCGGCCGTGGCTCCTCTGGAGAAGTCCAGTGGACGGCAGGGTGACAGGAGGGCTTCCGGGTGGGTTTGTCCCCTCCCTTTACTGGGTGGAGGTCACCCTGCCCAAGTGCAAGAGTGCACGGGGCCCTTGGGGGTGGCTGGGGCCCGCAGCCGCCTTTTCCCTCACTGCACCCCGCTCTGCAGTCTACGTGATCATTGGGATTTTCTGCCTGGCCTCCTCCACGGGCCTCTACAGCTGCCTGTCGCCGTTGGTCCAGAGGCTGCCATTTGGCAAATGCAGGTGAGTTCCCTCAGGTGGCCTTTGCCCAGCTCCACCCAGCCCCTTGCCCCCAGCTTTGTTCTTGAGGTCCTACACCACAGCCTCTCCTTGGCTCAACTACTGTTTCCCGTCCTCTGGCCCCTGAGGCTCCAAGCTCTGCTTCCATGAATCAAGGACCCCCCACTCTCCTGTGGTCCTTGGCCAGTCTGGCACAGTGCAGGCTAATGGCAGGTGCTCACTCAGTGCTTGCTGGGTGTTCATGGACCTTGGGAGGAGGACAGAATGGGGAGGAGAATGGGCTTTCTCAGTCCTCCCGCCTCCTCTCTTGAGTGGCTTCCCTCGCCCCACCTTCCATTCCAGGGCAGATAGGCCCAGTGGGGACGCAGGGCGGAGTGGGATGATGTGGGTGCATGTGGGTACTGGGTAGGGATGCCCAGCAGGGTAGGGCGAGGCTGGGCCACTCCACCGGGCTGGATGCACTGGTGGTTCAGACCCGGAGGCTCCTGCTACCAGAGGCCCAGTCTGGTTCTTACAGGGAAGATGGGCAGCTACTCAAGGGTGTAGACAAGGGGGACGAGACCTT